AAAAAAAAAAAAAGACTTTATGTCCCATAGCATTTATAACTTAATAATCATTGCACCTAGGGATGACTACAACATGGAAATTATTAACTAAAAGAACAGTCAAGAATCTCAGACATGAAATAGACCTTAAAGATATCTAGTATAGCTTTATTTTACATATAAGAAAAGTGAGGCCTAGTGTCATTACCTGAGATCCTAATGAATCAGGACTAGAATTTTTATAAGGTAATGTTTTCCCTATTTAATAATGCTACTCTTTCCTATTAGAAAAAATTACTTAGTCTAATGACATTCTGTCCTAATTAACTGAACTGTCCAGCATATTTTATATATAAACATACAAATCATAAAGTAGTTTTAAAATGTCACTTTCTTTTATAAATACCTACCTCATATATTGCAGTAAGATCTCTAAAAAAGCTTTTGGCTCCATTTAACAAGGCTTCATTCTCTGGACATAGTACAACATAGGCTATATCTCTTTGAGATCCATAGGGTTCTAGCATAAGTCTCTCCCAGTAAGGAAGAGCAAATGGAGAAAGCACCAGGAAATCATAATCATAACCCAACAAAAACGTGGGGATTGGCAGTGGTTCCGGGGATTCATCAGTTCCTAAATAAGAAAGACATAATTTTAGAAAACACTTAAAAGCAAAAAATATTTTTATTTAAATGTCAAAAGTTAATAAAGTCATTCGTAAAAAATATTTGATTAAAAAAGCTATAACCAGTGATTGAGACATTTCAACAGGTAGGAATTTCTAAATAGTCTATATAAAACATATGTGACTACCTTGATTTTTATTTTTGAGACAAAGCCTCAAGCTGTCACCCTGGGTAGAGTGCCTTGCTATCACAGCTCACAGCAATCTCCAACTCCTGGGATTAAGTGATTCTCTTGCCTCAGCCTCCCAAGTAGCTGGGACTACACAAGGCCTAGCTATTTCTTGGTTGTAAGCTGTCATTGTTTGGCAGGCCTGGGCTGGATTTGAACCTGCCAGCTCTGGTGCACATAGCTGGCGCCTTAGCTGCTTGAGCTACAGGCGCTGAGCCTTGACTACTTTGATTTAACCAGAAAAAAAATCTGAATGAAAAAAGCCCACACAAATGCAATAAAAAAACATGAGAGAGTTTATAATTCAGAAAATTTTTTTAGATATGGGAGTGTCACTACATTGCTCAGTCTAGACTTGAGCTCCTGGCTTCAAGTGATCCTCCTCAGTCTTTGGAGTAGCTGGGACTATGGTGCCTATCAATGCACCCAGCTGGAGAAGTTTTATGTTAAATTTTAGTAAATTTGGGCTGAGAGAATCCTTCTAATATTAACATAAACTCTATCCATTTAAAAGTAGATTCATCTGCCCACAGGCTGAGGCTGATGCTGGTAATCATAGCAGTTTGGGAGGTCAAGGTCCTCCGCTTGAGGCTAAGAGTTCAAGATCAACCTAAGCAACATAGCAAGACCCTATCTCTACAAAGAAATAAAATTAGCCAGGCATGGTGGCACATGGAAATAGGCCCAGTTACCTAGAAGGCTGAGGCAGGAGGATCACTCGAGCATAGGATATTAACCACTGTACTCCAACCTGGGTGTCAGGTGAGTACATTGTCTTATAAAAAACATATGATTGGGCAGGGCACAGTAGCTCACACATGTAATCCTAGCATTCTGGGAGGTCGAGGTGGTGGATTGCCTGCTCATGACCAGACTCAGCAAGAAGGGTGAGATCCCATCTCTAGTCTCTAAAAATAGCTAGATGCTGTGGTGGGTTTCTATAATACCAGTTATTTGGGAGGCTAAGGCAGACTCCCTTGAGCCCAAGAGTTTGAGGGTGCCATGAACTATGACGCATGGCACTCCACCAAGTGTGACAAAGTGAGACTTGGTCTCCTTAAAAAAAAAAAAAAAGATTAACCTGACTATATAAATTTAAAATTTTGCTAGGAGAAAACACACTATAAACAAAGCCAAATGATTAAAATCAAATTGGAACAAATACCTGCAATACATATGACAAAAGGTTCATTTCTTTGTCATATATATGGAACCAATAAATCCACAAGGAAATAGAAAACAAGATCTCCTATACAATATTGTACATGAGTCAATAATACTGTACTGTGTATTAAAATTTTGTTAAGATAGTATATCTTATGTTACCACAATAATCTTTTTTAAAAAAGAAAGTGACCAACAACCTAATAGAAAAATAGGTAAGGAATATGAACAAAGTTTACAAAAACAGAAAGAGCTCTTACACATAAAAAGATGCTCAATCTCAAAAAACAATTTGAAATTAATACTAGCAAACGTTTATAATGTTCACTATGTGCTAGATACTGTTCAAAGCACTTTCCATGCATTACCTCATTTAATCCTCACAAATACCATATAAGGCAAATAATATTATTAACTCCATTGTAGGGATGATAAACAAGAATGAAGAAGTTAAACAACTTCTCTAGTATCACATGAGAAGTGACAGAGCAGATGTATTAATATAAGACATCTATTCTCAAAGTCTATACTAGTCAATCTCTCATACTACATGAAATAACCATTTTTCACTCAGCACCCTACTGGCAAGGGTTTGCAGAAATAGACATTTAACTATTGGGAGTACAAACTGATACTGCAGAAAGTATTTTGCCAATTAAAAAAAATCTACACATGCTTTAATGCCAGGAATTTGTACATTATTGAAAAATACCTATAATGATCATGATGGAAACAATCTATATATAGGTCCATAAATAGTACACTAGTAAAATACATTGTCCTATGTAAAGAACAATGGAATACATATGGCCATTTAAAAAAATGATAAGCCTGAGCAACACAGCAAGGCCATCTCTACAAAAACATTTTTTAAAAAACTAGCCAGGGGTGGTAGTGTGTGCCTATAGTCTTAGCTACTAAAGAAGCTAAGGTGGGAGGATCCCATGAGCCCAGGAGTTGGAGGTTATAGCAAGTTACTGGGTATGTCACCGCACTCCAGGCCTGGGCAATAGAATTAGACTCTGTATCTAAAAAAGAAAGGTAGTGGCTGAGCGCAGTGGGCTCATCCCTATAACCCCAGCACTCTGGGAGGCTGAGGTGGGAGGATTGCTTGAGTTCAGGAGTTTGAGACCAGCCTTGAGCCAGAGCAAGATCTCAAGACCTCATCTCTAAAAATAGAAATGAGCACCTACAGACCCGCTACTTCAGAGGCTGAGCTAAGAAAATCACTTGAGCCCAAGAGTTTGAGGTTGCTATGAGCTGTGATGCCATGGCACTCAACCCCAGGGCAACTGAGTGAGACTCTGTCTCCAAAAATAAATAAATAAATAAATAAATAAAATAGATAAAAAATAAAAAAGAAAGGTGAATAAACATTTTTTAAAAATTATAAAAGAAAGCTCTGTATGTACTGACAAACATAACCTGAAAAATCAGTAAGGTGCAAATATAAATATATATCTACTATTTTTGTTTTTAAAATATCAAAGTTTAAACTAAGAAACCTTTTTTTTTTTGAAACGGAGCCTCAAGCTATCCCCCTGGGTAGAGTGCCATGGCATCACGCTCACAGCAACCTCCAACTCCTGGGCTCAAGCGAGTCTCCTGCTTCAGCCTCCCAAGTAGCTGGGACTACAGGCGCCCGCCACAACGCCTGGCCATTTTTTTGGTTGTAGCCATCATTGTTGTTTGGCGGGCCCGGGCTGGGGATTTGAACCCACCACCTTAGGTGTATGTGGCTGGCGCCTTAGCAGCTTGAGCCACAGGCGCCGAGCCTAAACTAAGAAACCTTAACAGTAACATGAATTTTTCATAGAATCACTTTTGTATGATATTTTAATTATTTACCCATCAAGAAAAGGAAGACAAGGAATATATAGGCAAATCTATTACTTTTATATATAATACATTCTGAAACTAAGCACAAAAGTCAAAGTATTATTCCAAATGTATTTTAAAAGCTCCCAGTAAATCCTACCTTTCAGAGACAATCAATCTTCAACAAATAGTTCAAATGTTCAAAAGCTTCTCTTTCATCACAGCTGACCATAAATCCACTGTATACCTATGTATTCATTCCCTAGTATGGTCGCAACTAGCAAAGTTCTTTGTCCTCATTCTTAAGTATCACCCTCTAATCCCTCACTATTTTAAACTCAATTTCATAAAATAATTGACAACAAAAGTATTTAGCCTTTAAAAAAAATCTTAGCAGTATGGCCCTTTCTTCACACAAAATCTTACTGCACAATCTAATTTGTAAGAACAGATCTAAATGAAGATGCTCCTTTTGAAATGAGGTTGAAAAACCCTATAAATTGAATGTTAAAACAAAGGCTAGGATTGTATTGCAAAGGCCTTGAGCTTATGCCACTAAAATATTTCAAGAAATTATTGTGTTCATTCTAGTTGGGCACAGAAATATGAGGACTGATATAAATCAGTCATTACACATTACTATAAATTTACTCACCATAAGAGCCTCGGCCAGCCATTTTATGAAATTGTTGCCAAGTGAGAGGACCTTGAACCCCCCAAGGTCTTACTGTTCTTTTTTTCTGAATGGCATCCTGAAGAACTGGCTGAAGAGAGAGGAGCATTCGAAGTATATCCTGTGAGCACTGCATACTCACATCTACAAGCATTTTAAAAAAAAGTGAGTAAGAATTGCTATTGCCAACACAAAATATTAAGATAATACAAAATACATCTAGGGAAGTTTAGGTCTTTATCAAGAAGATTAAGCATCTGCTTTGTATAGAGAACTGTGTTAAGTTCTATACTAAGTGATATGCAGAAATGGTTCTTTTAGATACTTAGAACCAAGACATATAATAAAAAGTCACTGTAACTCATCTCCTCAAAAAGAGTCATTCATTACCTGATTGATCGACTTATGCCCACAAGAGGCAAACCTACAGAGACAGAAAGTAGACTAATGCTTGTAACATGGGCTGGAAGGAATAGGAAGTGACTGCTAGTGGGTATGGGGCTTATTTTGGAGGTAATGAAAATGTTCTGAAGTTAATTGCAGTGGATTGCTGCACAATTCTATGAATACTA